TATACAATTCCTCCACTTGGTGTACCTAGAAAATATAATTACAAAAATTAAGGGAAATTAATTTATGAAATTAAATGTAATATAATTAAACATTTAAAATAAATTGTGAAAACACTTACTTCGTTGTAGTAATTGGCGCCGCCTTCATGTCTACTTGCTGGTGTTAACAGTGCTTGATGTCATTTATTCAAACTTGGATGAAGATGTTTCTTCCATCTTGAAGAACAACTCTCGTGGTTTCAGGTATTCAGTGGAGTGGTGCCTTCATAGAACTCCAAGTATTTTTTTGGACACACGAGTCCAAACACCTTTACTTGTTTGAGAAGTCCCCCTCACACTATCTTCCGAGACCCATTTATAAGCCTTGCAAAGAGCTTCATCTTCTTTTTGGGTCCAAGCCCTACCTTTCATTGCAGATATGACCATTTGAAAATTATTGAAAAAATTGAAGGAAAAATTATTGGAAGAGGTAAGAAAATAGAATGTGAAGAATTGAAATAGAATGAAGTGAGATAATATGGAATGGTGAAAATTATGTGAGAAATGATGTAGGAATGGCTTAGGTATTTATAGGAAAAAATTGAATCCAACGGTAACTGACGTCAGCTAGCCGTTGCTAGTTAGCGTCACACTGATGTCAACTACCTTTGGATTAAAAAAAATTGACCATTCTTAGGCCGGCTGGCTGGCTGGGTTGGACCAGCCGGTTGGCCTTCTTCTCCTTTTTTGGTTCGATGAGGCCCACGAGCTCTTTGGCCTGACCCTCGGTTGGAGATGGTTTTCATGCCATTTCAGACTATTTTCGGCCCTTTGGCCGGATCGGTTGAAGATGGCCTAAGGTCTTAGGATTCTAAGGGCTCATTATTTGTTTGGAACCATTATTGGAATTCAAAAAATTTAATTGTTCCTTTCTAATAGTATTTTCCTCTTTACTTGTAAGTGAAAAGCCTTAAATTCAATTATTGCCAAAGATGAATTTGAATTACATTATTATAGCTAGCTTAGTATGAGGCGTAGGCTACTCCTCACTCCCCGTTAGGCCTCCTCTAACCCTGGGGGCTAAATGCCAAATTACCTCATTTATCCCCCTCCCCCAAACACCACCCAACCCATGCTAAAACATTAGGCTAAAAGTCAAATGCTAAACCTCGGCCAAATACCCCCCCTAAATTCTCCCTCCCCCCTCCAACGCGTGGACTCGCCTGCATTTGGGCCACTCACGGCCCGCCCACTCGCTGACGCGCCTCACGCGGCCCAGATTAATTCAGCTCCCAACAGCAGGGGGCCCACTGCCAGGGCCCTTGTCGGCCACTTCCCCGACCCAACAACTCTTTTTCGCATTGAACGACCACAATTTAAGGATCGTTGGTTGATCCGACGGTCCAGATTTAAAATCTATTTTTTTAAATATGTTATTTTAAAATACATTGAATCCAATGGTTGAGATCGAATATAATCAAATATAACGGTAAAAAAAAGATCTAATGGCCCATATTTAAATCCAATGGCTAAAATATTTAACTCAAAATTCACCTAAAAACTCTATAAATACCTATGTATTTGTTCAAACATCCACACAAAACTCAATTTTCTCCTACAATTCTTCCAATTTATCTTTCTACCATTTCTTTCCATTTCCAAATTGTTCAACATGGCAAGATAACGTATTAGAGGTCGTAATTGGACCTGTGAGGAAGATGTTGCTTTATGCTTGGCATGGGTTTCTGTTAGTGAAGATGGTGCAGTTGGCACAAATCATGACACAACTCGACCTAGATCGAGGCATGTTGGCCGTCACGTGAGGGTGACGTGGCCATGTACACAATGCGGAAGTAATAAAGATATAAGGAAAAACGAATAAATAAAAACCAACTAACTAGAGCACTAGATAAGGTAAAGAGCAAGTGAGACATTAAGTGTGAGTTCACTATCAAAGCATAAGTAGCTTAAGTGCAGTCTAGCAAGACGAATACTAATTATACAACACCAAAGATAATCCTACATTGGTGATAATCTGTCAGAGCTGCCGTGAATTCCTCGTAAGCCACCAACAATCACTCCTAACTAGAACCTGAAGGGGTGCAAAACAGAAAGTGTGAGTGGGAAAAAACAAAGCCTTTCAAAACCATTTCATTTAACAAAAGTTCTAACCCATCGCCGTAAAACGTGTATAATTTCCCAAAAAATAGAATGTATATAAATACATATCTCAAAATCATGCTTAGAAAATGATAATCATAAGTATGCCATGCCAAATATCTCAAAATAACAGAATAAGTAACTCAGGTGAAATAACATATTAGCCAGATCCACCTAAAGTGATTTGCACGGCTGAATCTATAGCTCAACAAGTATGCCTGCACACGAGTCGGAACCACCTAAAGTGCTTTGTATGACATGACTAGGTGTAAATAAATAAATACGCTCTAGTGTTACGATCACGTGAAGACTGTGCGAATAATCGCAGGTCATCTATGAGTTGGAACCACCTATAGTGGTCTGTACGATATGACTGTGTACCTAACTTAGATCCAAGGTGAACGTATGGTGCGGAAGGTGTACATCATGTGAAGGTCTGTGCCCTAGCCATGGGCGGAATCACTAACACCGAGGTGCAAGTTTATAAATTCTCAACACATCTCCCATCATCATCAAATCACATATAAATATAGTCTACAACTTACCTGGTACTTACCTGAGTGTCCACATCGTCAAATCACATTTATGCATGCTATACTAATTCATACATAGGCATGGCAATTCAAAACTTAATTTCATTTAAACACATTTTCTAGGAAAAATACCAAGTATATAAGTATATACTGAAAACCAAAAGCCCACTCATTGATATGTGGAAGGGTCGTAACCCCCGAGTCTTGCTTGACTGCGCTCGTCCTCAGGATAGGTATCACATATATGAGAAACAGCTATATAAATGTTATTTAAAGTACATACACAAATCTAGGAAATAACTTCTCATACATAGCTCAAATGGGGTATTTGAATATACCACCGAGACCTACTCAACCTCAGGAACACCCCCATATTTTTAGAAAAAATTTCGAGCACCCATGCGCCTTCACGCGACAGCTAAGTCAGGGCCAGACGCGCAAGCACTTGCCTGGCACACTTACGGATTCCCTAACTGCGTTATGGAATATTTCGTTAAAAATCAATATATACCGTTAAATATACCTGACGCCGTTAGCATATTTCGTCAACTTTGACGGAATATTCTCCTCCTTCTTCCTTGGTTTGCCGGAGTCCGGCGCCGGCCATCGCTGCTATCGCCGAATTATGGAATAAATTTAGAACTTCATATCTCTTCCATTCTTCAGCCAAATTCAATGAAATTTGTACCAAAATGAAGCTTACAGCGAGTAGAACACATTCTTACCACTTTGGGGACCCAAATTCAACGGAAACTCGCCGAAAAAAACTCGAGGAAACTGGCCAAACTCTGTAACTATATAAACTCGAGTGTTCTTACGTAAAAAACACTCCAAAATTGATCCAACGTGCTAGAAACTAAGAATAATACCTTCTTAGGTCTTAAAACAACTTAAAACCTTCGCGATCACGTCAGAGGAAAAATTACCCCTCGCTGGAGTTCGGATATCTCGATTCCTATAGGTCATTTCCTCAATCAAAAGGTATGACTTTGCTCCTAAGCTTGTAAGGAGTTCAAAAATGTCCTATCTAGCTCGATCCGTGAGTGATTAAGCTAGTTTAGAGGTTGACCGTACGTATTGTATGAACAATGGAAGGAAATCAAGAGAGAGGGAGATAGAGAGAATCAACGGGATTGGTTGGTGCGTGTGTGTGGTCCAGATTTGTCACCAAACAAAAACAAACAAAATCTTGAGTTCCAATTGGGTCCAAATCTTTAGGAAAGGAATTAATTGGTCAAAATATTAAGCTCAACACACAACGTAACTCAACGTCCAAGGGTAAATTAGTCAATTCACACATACGATAAAATATATTTCGGGACGGGCTGTCACAAATCAAAATAAAAAGGTTTTGTGGGATAAAATCATCGCAAAGTTTCAACAAAACTGCAACGGCGGCGAGGCGAGACGGTGGTGATATTTATGATCAGTGGAAGACTATTAACAAAGCATGCACTTTATGGAATGGAAGCTTGGAGAAAGTCGTGGTTGGCATGGCTTGTGGAAGGAGCGCCACAGAAGTTGTGAGTTTTTTTCTTGATATTTTATTTGTCATGTACATAATATTATTTTGCAATCTGCATTGGTATTGTGTCATCTGCATTGCCCTACTACCAATGGCGAAGCCAGGATTTCTCAGGGGGAGGGGCGAACTTAAAACAGTGCAAGGTTAAAAAAAAATAGAAACAACTAAATCTTTGTATATAATAATGTCTTCCATAATTAATCAATAAAAACAAATTACAATTGTTGTCGATGAGGTTTCATGTCATGAAAACGTCGCATAATAGGCTCATTATCAATAAAAGCAAATACATCTCTCAATGTAAACAATCATGCTATCACTCAACCATTGATCTCCCATTTTATTATGCAATGGTGTTTTCACAATCTTCATAGCAGAAAAAGCTCTCTCCACCAAAGCGGTTGCAACCGGTAACACCAAAGCCAATGTAAGAAGCTTATACACTAACATATAGCTTTCACACCTCCCAGTCTTCGCTAACTCTTTTGCAAGATCACTGATTCCTCTCAATGATGAAAACTCACTATGCATCTTCATATCTTGAATGTAATTGTCAAGTTGAATTGGAAGATTCATGAGGTCCATACGATCAAAATCTTGAGGATAAAGTTGGGCTAAACGAACAATTTTTTCTTTGTCAAAATATGCAAAATTATTCACTGGACTCAAACATGCCATACAAAGAAGCAACTCGGTGTTTACCTCATTGAAGCGATCATTCAATTCCTTTAGTTGCATATCAAGGACTTGAAAATAGAGGTCTACACGATAGTAATGGAAGTTTGTGATTTTTGGAGCTTTACGCCTTGATTTTCCAGGTACGAAATGCAAATCCTCCATGTTAGGAATGACAATATCATGCTCCTCACAAAACTTTTCTACATCATGCAACAAGTCCCCAAAGTCATCATCTCTAAAGGATTGTAGTCTTTGCTTGCATACTTCCACTAACGTCATTGCATTCACAATATCTTGATCTTTCTTTTGCAATGCTTGTGATAACTCATTTGTAATTCCCAATATAAGTCTCATCAAGAAAAGGTGAAACACAAAATCAAAAGTTTGTATGTCTTTGAATAACCCAGTAGCTTCACCGAGATTATCTTGGTTGCGATCACTTTTAATCCATTCAACCACCTCCACCACGGCTTCAAACATAACAATAATACTAACTATAGTACCATAATGCGAGTTCCACCGTGTATCACATGGACACATGAGGCTACTTTCTTGATTTAACCCTTTACCCGTTTCAAGATTACCAAGATGAAGAGCTTTTTGAATTTGTTCTTGTTGTTTCTCTCTCAATGCATCACGACGCTTGCACGAAGATCCAATAAGATTCACCAATCTATTAGCATTGATGAAGAAATTGGCAACATCCTCATTTTCCTTTGCCACAAATACAAGAGCTAGTTGCAGTTGGTGTGCAAAACAATGAATATAAAATGCTTGAGGGTATTTGTTCAAAATCTTTGTTTTAAGACCATTTAACTCACCTCTCATATTACTAGCTCCATCATAGCCTTGTCCTCGTAACTTGGACACACTCAAATTTGTTGTAGCAAACAATCTCTCAATAACCTCTTCAAGTGAGCTACTAGTTGTAGAGGAGACATGTTGAACACCCAAAAACTTTTCAATTGCTTCTCCTTTTTGTTCACATAACGCAATACCACCGCCATTTGCTCTTTATTGGAAGCATCACGTGATCCATCAACCAAAAGAGAAAAAAATGTACCTTCCATATCTTTAGTGATTGCATTAATAGTTTCAATAGCACAAGCACGAACAAGATCCTTTTGAATATCGAAAGAAGTATACTTGAGATTCTTGGGACCATTCTCAAACACAACCTTTCTAACTTTCTCATTATGATCGGCAAGAAATTGCATAAGCTCTATATAATTACCCCTATTGCTCGATTTCAAAGATTCATCGTGCCCACGAAAAGCCAAACCTTGTCGCAACAACCATCTTGGGCAATCAAGTGCTCCATTCAGTAAAGTGTGATAATTAACGCGAGCTTCATCAGTTTGCTTGATCACAAATGTTTCAATGTGTTGTTTTTGTGTCATCAAGTCTTTAGCTTGTTGCATAGCCTTATTATGAAGACTTCCAACACCTCCCTCGTGGACTCAAAAATTTTTGGGTCCTTTCCTCCAATTTGTAAACCCTTTTGTAGTGAACACATCACTTCCACTACCACCCGCTTTATCAAAATCACATTTAAAAAGATAGCAATAACGGCAAAATGCAGCATCTTTTACTATACTATACTCCAACCACTTAAAATTATCAAACCAACCTGTAATAAAACATCGATTGTCGCTAGCTTTCCTTGGCATGATGTGAGACTTAGGTTGACAAGGTTCATTTTGAAGCTAGTATCTACGAATTGCTTCACGACAATTGAGTGGATAATCAAGCATTCGACGTCTCAGTCCAGGGTCTGCCGGAAGATTAGCTAATATTTCATCCAACTCAGTAATCTCACTTTGTTGTGCACTACTCGGAATACTAGAAGGTGGAGGAGGACTACCCGGAATATTTGAAGGAAGAGGAGGACTATCCAGAATATTTGGAGAAGGATTTAAGCATTATTTCTTATAATATCGTTCCATTACGTAACTGTATAACGAAAGAAAAACAAATATATCTTAGACTCTTAGTCCTAGAGTAGACTACGAATTTAATTAATCAGTACCAACAATCATATCATATGAATAATCAATTTTTATTCTATAGTAGAGTATGTAGACTACAAATGTAATCAATAAGTACCAACAATGCATTTGAATGAGGGTTTTAGTTAGTTGAATTGGGGTTCATTATGTTAATGTATATATAATGTATCAATCCTCTTTTATGTACTTCAAAAAAAAAAATCAATAATCATAGTATTCATATGAATAATCTATAATCAATAACCATATAATGTATAACCTTGTAATCCTACATCAATTAAACAAAAATTTATATTCAATAATCAATTAGGGTTTGAAATAAATTAAAATTTTTACCTTAATTGGAATTTGGAGTGGCTGTGCAGTGTGCTTGCAGTTGCAGACTGATGTGTCTGGTCTATCTGCTACAGGACAGAAGGTTTTGTCGTGTGAAGGGGGGGGGAAGGGGGAAAAGGTGGAGTGGGGGGACTGATGGGATGGGATTTGGGGAAAAAGGAGAAGGGTTTTTAATTTGGTTTAGGGTTTAGATGGGGATGGGGACCAATGGTCCCCCCGTTTATATTTTTTTTTTATTTCATTCAACCAAAACGACGCAGTTTGCCAAAAAATTTAAATTTTTTTTTACCAGGCCCAAAACGACGTCGTTTTGGCCTGGATTTTAAAATTAAAAAAAAATACCTCCCTGTCGTCTTCCCCGAGCTACCTCTGTTTCTGGTTTCAGAACCTGGTGCTCCCCAGTTTCCGGCCAAACCAGGGGGGTTCAAGCGTTGCTCCTGCCTTTGTTTTCCGGCGAGTGGAGGGGCGAACGCCCCCCTTCGCTCCTACGTAGCTTCGCCTCTGCCTACTACTCCTTCTTCTATCATCCATTGATGAGATATTGAGGATTTTTAGGAAACAAAAACACTTTCAAAGTTGAAATATTGGTGAATATAGAGGATGATTGAAGGTTGAAAGATCGTATGATCAACTAATATTGAACTTGTGTTTATATAGAGGATGATTGATGAAAGTTGAACGGTTGGTGAAAGTTGAAAGTTTGGTGATGAACGGTTAGTGAAAGTTGAAAGATTGGTGGAAGTTGAAGTATTGCTTTGTGGAAAATTTAGTGATTTTTCAATATTTATTTGAATTTAAATATTTTTAGATTAAAATGTTCATAAAATTAATTTACGATAATTAACATTTTTTTTAATTTAATTTAAGAAAAAAATTAGCATAAGTTCATTATTTAATAATTCCGGGCTAAAATTTTAGGCCAAAATGGTTGGAGCAGAAAAAACTGTTTCTAGGCTAAAAAATTTGGCTTTTAACCCAAGGGGTGGAGATGGTCTTAGTGTAAATAATATCGTTTGTTAAAAAAAAATATTTTTCTTTCTAAATATAAAAAAAAAGTGCAATGTTAAATTTTTAAAGTGTTAATAATATTTTTATATTTTTTCTTTATTTTTATATTATAATTTAAATTTATTTGACCATTAATGATGGAGGTCCACAACCCTAAATAAATATCTAGATATTCAGACTCATAAATGTGTCAAAATTATAGTTTGGGGCACACATACCTCATATTTTGCTACGCTGAATTAAATACCTCACCAACTCGGATTTTTCAACTGCTTTCTATTGTCATATTTATAAAACTTCAATAAAAAAATGCATATAGAAATATTAAAAAAGTTAAAAATATGTAATGGGGTTGGATTTTCCAACTGATTGCAATGAATTATCGTACTTCTGTAAAAAAAAAAAAAAATGTATTCTGATCAATGCGTATTCAATTTCTATTGATTTCTGTCTCATAATAATTAATAACTAACTTTATTCCAAAATTAATAACTGACTATTTAACTTACTAATCAATCTAGTAAATAAATGATATAAATAAATACAAGAAAATTAGGTTGACTATTTGATTTCAATTAGCCGCCCACAAGGCACCCAATTTTTTCCATGAGCTCAATAATTTTCCATTTTAAAAGTATTTTATGCAAATGCTGCAGTCTGCAAGTGCATATAATTTAGGCTAATTAATGCAGACGTTTGAAGATGTTTATTGACTTGACGTACAAGGTAGGTCTTCTAAGTTATGTCTGCAGCCCTCAATTTCAAACCTTTCAATTTTTTGAACAATCGATATTATTTATACTAAAAGGGAGGGGGTTGAGTTTAGCCTCACAATCAGCTAGTAATAATTTAATTCAAATATGTCTTTGGTGAGCATCGAACCTAAGATCTCTCACTTACAAATGAAGATGAATACTACTAAATCGTAGTACTAAGTGACCAAACCTTTCAATTTTGAGTGGTCAAACTGACGCCACCAAATGCAATATTATCAGGAAACAATTTAAGACTTCATAAAATCAAGTAAAAATTAAAATTGAATGAAAAAAAAGAGAGAAAAAAAAAAGTAATGGGTGCTGCCAAACTGGGCCTTGAGTATTTAATGGAAGAAAAAAAATATGGGCCTGATTATTTGAGTCAAGTGGGCTGGGCCTATCTTAGCTATTACCCAAGTCCATGGACCCAGCCTTGTGCAGATGCAAGATCTCTCTAACAAATTGGTTATTAAAAGACCTGTATACAGCTTTTAATAGGTTGGGCCTGGCCGGCAGCGACACGGGATTTAGGAGAATTAAACCCAAAATTTCAAGTTCAAGGTGAATGTCTTTACCTAATTGAAATAGGAAATTGTTGTTAGCATTTCAAAAATTTCATTTAACACTTCAAACTTTTTATAATTAGAAAGAAAAATACACTTGTGATGAGTGTAGAATGAGATTTTTGGAGTGCTAATAACAATTCTTATATATTAGTCTCTTACACAAACTCAAGAAAAATGGCATTTTCTTAATTTTTATTCAAGGACGAAATACGCGTAGGAGATGATTTTTTTGGAAAGGAATCATCTCCGGATCCCTTCCACCAAATCCACCAATCCAAGCCCTTGAAATTTGATCCAACATCTAAAAATAGGGGCCTACTTTAAAAGTTATAATAACTTTAGCCGTTTGATCAAATTTCAAGGGCCTAAATTGGTGGATTTGGTGAAAGGGATCAGAGAGGATCCCTTTCCGATTTTTGGTACTCACTTTCTTTATTGTGCTTTTATGTTTAGTTCAGACATTTAAACTGAATTAACTAAAATAAATAAATGAATAAATAAATGGAAGAGTGAAAAGAAAGAAAAAAAAGCATGTATGTGTGTGTGTGTGTGTCTATCTATATACATAGAGAGAGAGAGAGAGAGAGAGAGAGAGAGAGAGAGAGAGAGAGAGAGAGAGAGAGAGAGAGAGAGAGAGAGAGAGAGAGAGAGAGAGAGAGAGAGAGAGAGAGAGAGAGAGAGGGAATAATTACACACTCATTTTTAGCCCTTGACACCCTTGTTAATTTTTTTTCATTAATCTTCTTCAATTCGTTTAATCCGGTGGTCAAAAATTGAAAGGGTGTCCTATTCCCCAACTAGAAAGACGAATTTATATTCATTAATTTAACTAGATCACCTTAAGCCTCATTCTTTTCAAGCAAAAATAATCTTAAATTAGATTTCTTGTGAGGATGGATCTTCTCTTCTAGCACCAGATTCTCTCTTAAGGTTGAAAAACTGAAATCTTTAATTGAGCAATCTAGCTCATCTTCTTCTAAAGCAGACCTGAAAAAGGTTTTACAAATTCTTGAAGACTTGGTAGATGATAATGGAGACGGCCGTTATGGGATTCTTTCTCCCATTCCTTAGGGCAAAAAAGCATGAATTGCTTTTCTTATGAAAACAAACAAGATAAGAATAATTGAAATGTTGCCTGATATCAAGACAAGAAAATAATTATTCTACTTTTGAATAATTTGCTACTTTTTTTTTTTTTTTGGCAAACCAATAATTTGCTACTTTTAATGTAGCTATGTGCGTTTGTTTGATTCTTTATTTAAGAGTTTTTTTTTTTTTGTTCATCTATATGAAGTTGAATTAGGTCTACTGAATAAAGTGAATATATCGTCCATTATGTAAGGCTGCTTTATGATGACCCTCTACTTAGGCAACACCTAGAAGATTATTTCTTTATCGTTTTGATTTTAGGTTTTGTTATAAGAGCCTTGGTGCTCAGTTGTAAACAAGTTTTTCTTCAAATTGTAAAATTGTAGTCTAAAAGTATGACAGTGCTTTCGCGTCTGTTATAACTACGTTGTGTGCATCTTTCTGACTGAAGATATATTAAATGTGAGGTTGTTTTATTATTTTCTTACATCTTTAATTTGCTTTATGCTTCTTTTAACTATTTTAATTTCCTTTTACTTTATATTTGTTTATTTCAATTGTTATTAATAATTTTATTATGTTCATACATATATTCTGTCACATCCCGGCTCGGGACGTACCATTTCCCGAGCCCGCTCCACCACCGTAGCACAATATT